TGGCTTTGCTATTCATTAGACGTGTGACCTTGAAAAAAATCTCTTAAGCTCTTTGGAGTTATTTTCCCTAGGACTCATGACCAGATAATGGTGTGGACTTTAGAACACAGCGGGGTCAGCTGGGAGGCTCATTGAAAAGGCAGGTCCTGGGCTTTTCCAACAAGTATTCTCTTGCGGTAGGCCCGGGGTGGAGCCTAGGGATGTGCTGATTCGCACCATCCCGTGGAGGTGGTCTGTGGAGCACATGGTCCCAAACACGCAGGGTGGGTCTTGTGCTTCCCAAACTGTGAGGGGTGACCCATTCATGAGTCATGACATCAACTTGGTAGATTTTGAAAGGCCATTTAAAAAATGAAGGAAAAGAAAGCAGATCCGAGGCATCACGGAATGAATATCAGTACAGTCAGCAAGCGCCTGTCTGTAGTTATAGGCATGTATGAAAGCAGCAACCCAGTTCTCAGCCCTGTACCTTGAAAAGACGGTAATGCCTCCTCACGGGCCGTTGACTTGAACGTGCCAGTAGAAGAACTGAAACTCATCTCTCTCCTGAAGAACTGATTATTTCAAGAAGGCGAGATTGCCTGTTACAGGGGTTTTCATTCTCTCAGGGTCTCCTGAACTGTCATACGACATTTGTTGATTCCACCATCGCTGGGGCAATTTTTCTCAGTATGATAACACAGAGTGACAAGGTCATTCCTGAGTCTTCTCCTCAGGACATACAGCACAACCTCCTTATCTGTGGTTTTAGTTACCTGTGAACAACTGTGATCCAAAAAGATTAAATGGAACATTCCAGAAATACACAATTCATAGGTTTTTCTATTGCATGCCGTTATGATTGGTGTGATGAAATCTGCACCATCCCACTCCGTTCAGCCTGGGGATGTGAATCATTCCTTGGTCCAGTGTATCCATGCTGTATACTCTGCCCACCTGTTAGTCATTTAGTAGCTGTCTCAGTTACTAGATCAACAGTCATGGTATGGCTGTGCTTGTGTTCAGGTTTATTTTATTCAATGAGAGCCCCAAGTGCAAGAGTAGTGATACTGGCAATTTTGGATATGCTGAAGATATATTCAATAGACGTGCTATAAAGTGCTTCCTTTAAGTGAAAAGGTGAAAATTCAATGAGACATTTTGATGTCACATTGTCACATAATAAATATTATAACTTATTGCAGTGTATCATTGTAATGGTTCTGTTGTTATTAGTTATTGTTTATATATTAAACTTTGTCATAGTTATGTATGTAGAGGGGGAAAAAAGAATACATCAGATTTTCTACTGTTATGGTTTAGAAATTGTCCCCAAAGATTCATGTTCTGGGAGTTTGGTCCCCAGTGTGGCAGTGTTGAAGTGGTGGAACTTTTCAGACGTGGGGCCTTGTGGAATGTGATTAGATTACATGGTCACCACACTGGGAATGTATTAACGATGGTAGGACATCCGTTCCCATGGCTTTCCTGACTCTCACCCAGGATTCTGGGCTCTGGAGCACAACCGTGGAGTGCACTGTGGGCTACTGGGTTAGAGGTGGGCCTGGGTAGTCAGATGAGCTTTATGTGTTTAAAGAACACCAACCCAGAAGACAGGAGGCAAGGGTCCCCATTGTTGGCTTTGCTATTCATTAGACGTGTAACCTTGAAAAAAATCTCTTAACCTCTTTGAAGTTATTTTCCCTAGGACTCATGACCAGATAATGTTGTGGACTTTAGAACACAGCAGGGTCAGCTGGGAGGCTCATTGAAAAGACAATGAGCTTAGTTCTCGTGAGTGGACTGTTAGGAAGAGGCGCTACCTTATGTTCTTGGCCCCTTCTGCACTCAGCTTGTTCCCTGTCTGCTTCCTGGCCACGTTGAGATGCAGCCTGGTGGATCCTTGCCAGGTCACTAGTCTCATGCTCTTGAACCTCTGGAACTGTGAACTAGACAATCCTCTTCTTTATAAAGAAAGTAGCCTCGGGTATTTTGTTCTAGCCACACAAAATGAGGGAGGTCCTATCTGGTTTGAGGTATCCATTGGAGGTCTTGGAATGTACCTACCACAAATAAGGGGGAACTGCTGTAATAGGGGGCCCTTCTTCCTTCTGCTTGTTGAAAACAATTCAAATAACATAAATAGCAGTTCCAGACCAAAAAGATTGCTGGGGTAAAATCTTCACAGGACCCAAATCCTCCTCCTAAAGAGATGGTTTATTGAAAGGGGGTCTGGATGGTCACTCTTGGCAAACGGTACATCTGCCTGTCTCTTTGCTGGTGTTTGTTCAGTAGGGTTGTTTGGATGAAGGCTCTCTAAACACTTCAATTCTAAGATGTCAGGTAAGACTCATGCTTATTTAATCATCTGTTCCTTGAAGGAATCATGTATTTTAATATTTCATTTCCATTCAGTAGAGGACCTTAACCTAAGAGAATGACAGTGGGAAAAGAATCAAGTTTTGTGAAAAAATAATCAAAATGTTAGAGTAGGAGGCAGCTAGCAGAAATCATTCATTTTAGTCATTACATGTATGCCCATGTGTCTAGACGAGAAATGTTTTCAGTGTAGCTGTGGGGATTGTGTGCTAAATCCAAAGACTTTGCCATTGCATAAAAACAAACTAAAACCACGAATGTCCATCACCAGGCACTTTTGGAGTTCCCCTTCAAGGTCAAGTTATGGTCCTCACGAGAAGCCAGTTTCGTGACTTCATGGTCACATCTCATTTCTGTGAAAATCAACATTCCTCACCATGAATACCTGCCTTGTTTGGCAAGATTGGCTCTGAATGCCTGTTGCTTGCTTCCCGGAGTCAAGTACATCTTCAAAGAGTGGCAGTTTGCTGCCCCTGAGCGATGGGAAGGGGTCACAGGCTGTGAAGGCAGCTTAGCAGAGTTTCAGAGATATGCAACTAACGTGTCATGTGTTTTTGGGAGACGTGTGAAATACCAAAGAGGACCACTTGGAAAGGCCAGTGTACATCAATGTAAAATTTCAGAAGCACTCATCTTAAAACAAAAATTGTTCACATTTATGTCTTTGATTTTGATTGACTTTGATTGACAGTTGCTAATGAAGGTCTAGAAAATGAGAGATTGGAATGAAGCCAGTTTAACTAGTGACAAGGACCATTCAGGTCCTTAATCATAGTTAAACTCTGATTTCTTCGAGGAATGAATGATTGAATGAGAGTGTGTGTGAGTGTGTGTAGGGGGGCATGGCAGAGAGAGAAAGATGAGAATTCTGGTTCATTGATGTTCTGTCATCAGTGATTTCTGCTCTCTCCTCCTGTTTTAGGCTTAGCAATACCTGGGTAGTAAGAGGGAGGGGGTGACAGACTAGGGCAAGGCAGGGCATGCTGCAAACTAGTTGGATTACTGTCAGAACCCTTTTTGGTGAAAAGAAAAGCTGCATATAAAGAATATGGCCTTTGCTAGCATAAGGGAAAAAACAGTCAAAATTTAGAGCTGCTTCCATAGCGACAATGCTATTTTTTAAGTACAGTGAGATCCTCAGTACACCCTTCCCCCAAACATATCCGGGTGTCAAGACAGCTCTCAGAATGGTTATGGAAGTCTTTTCATTTAGAATCTTTCCCCCTCTCAGGACAGCCTGTTTGTTTCACATTACTAACCAGGAAAAAAAAAGTGGTTGCAAATTATAGACCTCAAAAATTAGTATTTTAGGATTGCTATCTGGATTAAAACAGTTGGAGCTGGCTTTTAAAATTGGGGGGTTTTAACAGTTATCACAAAAGGAATTCTCGGCATTTCTGCGTAATCAAATCTAATTTGAGTCTTTGATCTCAAGATGTAGAATTAACAAATAAAAGGAAAACTTGTGTTATCCGTCTTTCACCTGAGTCAGGCAGGGTCAAACATGGAAATGCAAGGTTACCCTTTAGCCTGTGTCCCTAGTCACCAAGATCACCACCTCCCATCTCAGAAAGGTGACAGCAAATGCTTTCTTATGCAGTGTCTGGTGGAGAAACCACCAGGTGAACAAGGAGGAGAAGACGGTGAATGCTGTTGGACGGGAGGCCCCACAGGTGGCCAGGCACCACGCTCCGTGATGGTGTTGGCCTCTCTCCCCGTCCTCCGTGTCTGTCAGGAGTTGGAGAAGGTGGCGATGTTAGGTCAGTGGTGGCCTTACCTCTGGCTGGGCTTTCCCAGTCTCTCTCCCCATGCAGCCTATTCTGAGCCAAACGTGGGTGACTGGTTCAGATTGTTTGCCCTTCTGCAGAGAACCCCAACCCTTCAGGAAACTTGCTCATTGACCTGGTATCCTTTGTGGCTGGGTGTCCACTAAGACTTTGGTCCACCAGTGTGATGATTCAAAGGACAGAGCTTCCAGTAAGATTATCATCACTTTTCCTGCTGCCCTTTGGGACCTGCTGGGCTCAGCTGTCCAAGTTGACTTAGCTTTTGCTTGGTTAGGCTTGGGAGTGGGCTCTCCAGCTACTCCCAACCCCACAAACTGTGATCAAGAAATGATTGCTGGGCATGGTGGTGCATGTCTGTAATCCTAGTGACTCTGGAGGCCAAGGCAGGAGGATCACAGGTTCAAAGGCAACCTCAACAGTTTAGCAGTTGTTGAGGCTAGGGATATAGCTCAGTAGCAGAGCACCATGGGTTCAATCCTTGGTCCCCCTGCTACACATACTCACACACACAAAGATTGATTTACAGAGTGGCATCTTTTGTAGATTTTGATTTTGCACATAGACTTTTCTCTTTTGATATCAAGATCTGTACCCCTGAATCTGTACAAATCCCAGCAGGACCATTTGCAGTGGTGTGGTCTTGGTTTATTTATTTAATCTTTCTGAGCCGAGTTTCCTCCTGTGTAAAATTAGGATAACAATGTCTTGCTCACTGGCTTTCGGTGAAGTTGAAATGAGAAAACATGTTCAACACAGAACCTGGGGCATAGTGAATTCTCATTAGATGGTGACAGTCAAGTGTTCCTGTTCTTTTAATCTGTTTTGTGTTGTTGTAACAAAAAACCAAGGGCTGGGTAACTTACAAAGAAAAGAGGTTTATTTGGCTTATGATTCTGGTATCGAGAAAGTCCAAACATAGTCTCACAGGAGCTGGAACTTGGGAGAACTAGTGCTTCCTAGAAAAGCACTGGTTCTTCTTTAAGGCTTTGAAACACTTCTCAAAGTCACCATATTCCAGCACCATCAGTTTGGGGACTGAGTTTCTAGCATGTGAACCTTGAGTGGACAAACTATATCCAAAACCACAGCATTGAGTAACTCCCTTTTTGGGGTTGGTTTCTGCAGGGGAAAAAAAAAAAAACAGTCACCCGTTTACTAAGCAGGAATACTAAGTACTTCCCAGAACCATAAGAAGTCGAAGCAATAAAAGATCTTAGTTTTTCATTCCGCAGATATTTATGGGATACCTGCTACATACCAAGTGCTTGAGATGTCACTGGGTAAGCCACCCCGACAATCCCCAGCCTCAGAGGGCATAGCCTCTGTCTAGCAGGGGAGAGCAGATGGTAAGCGACTGACACAGGAAGTCAGTCAATTTTGCCATTTGTTGGAAAGTGTTAAGTATTGCCTAACACTTAAAGAAAAGGAAAAATAGAACTTAAAGGACGTGTAATGTTACACTAGTCTAATCGTGAGGGAATCATTTATTCGGAGATTTGAAGGAGTTAGCCTTGTAGCTGGGGAAGAGCGTTCTAGGCGGGGGTGGGGTGGGGGGAGGTCATGGGCAGGGAGGCCAGTGTGGGGGAGGGCTGAGGGCACAGGGGCCAGAGAACCTAGGGCCCTGGGGGCCGTCGGAGGGCTGCGATTTTTCCTCTGAGAAGATGAAGAGTTGCTAGCGGAGGCATGAATGACCTGACCATTTCCATAGCACCCCTGGCTGCCCTGGGAGTGGGCAGTGGAGCTGGAGGGTGCACGTAGCAGAGGACACCGTCAGCCCCTCCCGGGTAAGCACAGGCTCTGGAGCCAGGGCTCGAACCCCGAGTCGGCCTCTGTTCCACTGTGGGTGTCAGACATCCAAAATCGAGGCCTTTTCAAACCACCCTGTTAATCTCTGAGAGCCAGGGTGTAGGCTGGGCCAGAAGGAAACTCACAGGCTGATTTCATTTATTCTACTGATGATCCATTTGGGGGGGATGAAAGCAGGGGCATTTTTGTCGTCTGAAATTACTTTCGGGGTCTTTGTCCACACAGCTTGGGGTTTATGGATGGCTGCTTCGTGTAAGAGGTAGGATTTCATTAGGTTGGTGATGACACGTCATTACACTTCAATTCCCTAGGTCTGGTTAGCCACGACCAAAATGCCTGAGTGGTGTTAAACCGTGAGGTGTAGGAGAATATATCATTTTTACCTAAAGAAAGGTAGCATTGCTGAGGCATCTAATTTTAGTGATAGGAGGAAAAAATAGCTTAGTCTGGATTTGCCTTTTCATTTTTAGCAGCGGTCAACACTGGATCCTCTCAGACTCTCTCTCCTCTGCTTCCGGGAAATCCCCAAAATGTCTTATTTGGCATCAAAATATACTTTTATCCTCCCTGATGTTTAACCTGAAGTTGTTAAAAAATAGTTTAGTGTCTAAAATAACCCAACATTACTCTTCCTTTAGTTATAATTTTCTGAGTTTTTATTTAACTTATTTTTGTGGTCCTGGGGATTGATCCCAGGGCCTCATGCATGTTAGGCAAGTGCTCTGCTACTGACCTACTCCCCGGCTCTTTATTTATTGTTTGTGTGTTTGGTTGTTTTGAGACAGGATCTTGCTGAGTTGCCCTGGCTGGCCTGAGTCTTGTGATCCTCTTGCCTCAGCCTCTCAAGTAGCTGTAATTACACAGGCGTGTGCTACTGTGCCTAGCTCTGAAGTTTAAAGCCCGTGATTAAAAATAGATAAATAAATAAAAGCGATAAATAAGGAGAGTTATAGTAATTAAAGATTAATCAGTGCACAGATGTCAATCATTTGGGAGAGGAATGATCGTCTAATTTGGGGTGTTCTTGGTCTTTTTTGCTTCCTGTGGTCACTTGGCTTATCTCGTGACCACAAACCTAACTCCTTTTTTCTGTGATTGAAGGGAAAGTGATGGGATTCTTATTTATCCATTGGTATCCATGAACTTTGCTAGCTGCTAAGTGAGGCGGACATTAGGGGCAAACTCCTACACTTAAGAGGGGAAAAAAAACCCTGCTGTTCCCTGAAAAGACTGGAAATGCACTTTCCAAGTTGTTCCTTCCTTTGGTTTCAGCTAAAACTCTTTGGATAAACTAAGGTCACCAAGTCACTTTGACTTGTTATTTTAGGTCACCTACAGTAATCGTGATAATGGTACAGGGCTGGGGGCTGCCACAAAAGAGAGGCATGGCAAAGGTCCCCCTTCCCCCTGGTTCTTGCAATCATGCCAGAAACGTTTCAGTAACAGGCATGAGTTTACCAGGAGGAATAGGAATAGGAGAAAGGGGACACTCTGAAGGGAGAGAGTGGGTCCTCTCAGAGAGGAGAGGGTGGCATGTCCCTCCTGCTCTTCAGTTTTATCAGGGGTCCCAGGGAGTTTCTAGAGCCCCGCCCAAGTCCATCTTCTGACTTTTGATTGACAGCATAGGAATTGCATGGACCCACTCCAAGAGAGATGAGTATGGTGCTCAGAGTTGGAGTCCTGCTGTTTTTGCCTCAATTTCTTGCCCTCTTAATCAGTTCACTATCCTTTAAGTAGCCCCCATCAAGACTGGGAGGGTCCATGTAGCCTGGCAGGCTGTGATGTGATCTTAAAATAATAGTTTGTCTTAGAGGATGTAATTATGGCAGGGGCGGGGGGAGGTTTTAACATACCAAGCCCTGATCTTCCAGGTACTTATCTCTCAGATAAGACTCTCTGTGGTTTTCAGTTGCCCTTATTATCTTTGCCCTGCTTACCCCTTCATGGCTGACCAGCTACCTAACGGTGATACTGAGCTGAGCCTACTCAGAAATGTCTGCCATCTTTCCCTTTAGAACATGTGCTCCGGGACCTTGATAATAAGCAGACACAGAAATGTGTCCGCCATTTTTCCTTTCTAAATGTTTGATCTGTGACTTTAAACTGAGCATGCTCAGGAAAGTGCCCACCCCCTGGGCTTTCCTATATAAATATGTATAGGTCTCATAGTAGAATCCCTATTTTTCCCATGTTTGGAGGGAGCATGGCTTTCAGTACCCCTAGTGCTTTCCATACTCACTGTAATAAATGTTTCTCCATTCTTTTGTACCCTGGTTGTGCTTTTTGGCTTTGTACTCACCACGATGCAAACCCATTGTGTTCAGTTACAACCTCAGACTTTTGCCATCCTTTAGGTGCGTTTTCTGTGCTCCACATCCCACCTGCTGTTACCCTTCTTGAGTGTGTCCTTGAGCTGCTTGATCAAACCAAGTTGATTTTGAGAAAAATGGAGTTCCTTCAAGCTTTAAAACAAAACAACAATACTTAACATCTGCTGGCATTTGGCAATTTCTATTGTTTCTGATGATTTTAAACATAAAATCTCTCCTTGTTTTCTTCCACTTTACAAGCAAATTAGGAAAGCAACTGTGTCACTTTTTAGTAAATATGTATTGGGGAGGGTAGAGGTTTCTTTATTTCCGGTTCTCCTTTTCTACTTAGATGGAGTGGTAGTTTTCAGTACCAAATCACTGTTTACCGCTCCCATTGGTCAAAAATTCAAGATGATGAGTTGGATAAGTAGGAAATATTGTTCACAGCGGGGCTGTCTGCAGTTTGGGGATCGTTTCAATTTCAGCTTTGGAATGGTAATTAAGTATAACAAGTATCTCTGAACTTGAGCCAGAGAGTTACTGTGGTGCTTCATAAAATCACCTGCTCCTGGGAGCTCTGGTGTATCTGGGCATATGTGTGAATGGATATGCACATTTGTATGCATGAAAGTGGGTAAATACCAACTGTATACCAAGAGAGGTATCAACCAAATATTTGAGAAGGAGATCAGAGGAGCATTCTTATACAAGAGGTTTCATGGAATGGCTTTGGATGATGGATTAGATTTCAGTGGGTCAAGTTTGCTGGAGAAGGAGTATCAGGCAGAGAAAAGAGTGAGCAATCGTGCTGGGGCAGGCAAGAATGATGAAGGTCCCCATGATCCTTTCCACTCCTTCTCTCTTCATTTGCCTTTTAAAACTCAGGTTAAACTTCACCCTATCCCAGGTGCATTCCTGAGGAAGAGTGTGGTTGGAATGGTTACTGGAATCAGACTTTTATTTGCTTTGCTCTTGAGAAAGTTCCTTAAATAATAAGTGAAATTCATATAACGCAGTTTTGTTGGTGCTTTGCTTTGGTTTAGCCTTTTAATCTCTACAACATCCCTAAGAGTGAGGAACTGTTTTATTCTGATTTTACACTGGAGGAACTGAAGGTCTGAAAGGACAAGTTTGTGCACACAGCTCTCAAGAAGCAGCACTATAAGAGTTGAACATTGGCACCTGGATTCCGGAAACGATGCTCTTGATACTGCATCTAGCTCTGCTATGCCTCACTGTGTTGATTTGTGAATCTGTGGTATGGTTTTCAGCACTGTGTTCAGCATGCAATAGGTGCCCCATAATTGCAACTCACTGCTATCATGAATCTTCCCTGTCCTTCCTGTTTGAGAGGTTTTTCTTCTTGTAGATAATTCTCTGATAGCATTGTTGCACTGGGCTGTAATTTGTCTGCTTTATGCATTAGACTGTAAGCTCCTTGAGGGCAGAAGTTCTACATACAGAACTTGTCCCCTAATGGCCCAGACAATGCTTGTTGAAAATATCTGGACTGCCATGATGGTCCTGCTGCAGGAAAATCAGCACTGTGGAGCAGCTCGTATCCACAACTTGAAGTCATTCACTAAAATCCAGTTCCTACCATCTATTAGCTTTGTGTCTTATTCAAATTGTTTGTCCTGCCTTAAGCCCCCTACTTCCTTATTTATTTGATGGGGATGATAGAGTTGTAGACGGTCAAGGAGCTAATGCACATCAGGGATACACCAGAATGTCTGTGTATGCTAAGCAGTGAACTGTTGGATTTACTATTTTGGTGTGACTGCTGAAAGTTAGATCCACTTCTCCTGGTTGGAGGTACAGGGATAAAGATTGTCCCCTCATTCAGGGACTTTGCAGTCTCACAGAAGAGTCTAACTGTCATCAAATGCTTTCATCATACTTGTGTGCGGTAATATACAACAGTAGACACAGCTTGGATCAACTGTTGTGGGGGGAAGGGGGAAGGGGGCAGCGGAGGAGATGTCTAAGTTGGGTTTCAGAAAATGAATAGAAATTCACAAGGCAGAGCAGGAATGAGGCCCTCAAATGCCAGAATTGTGGACTTCATTGAATAGGCAATGGGGAACCATTGAAATTTTTTGAGTAGGAGGGTGACATCAACAGAACTGTCCTTTAGGAAGATTAATCTGACAAAAATATGTAGGATGAGTTAGTAGGGAGAGAAGTGAGGAAATAAATATCACATAGACCTTTAGTGGAACCTCCTACGTGGCTTAGAAATCCACCCTGCAGTGTGGCCCTTACAGATGGTCATCCAGCTGAGGATGGATGCACCCAGCAGAGGAGGTGTGCCACCCACTGAGACACCCCCCCTTTCCTCTCTCCCTTCTCTACCTCTCTCTCTCCTTCCCACCCACCCGTCCATGCATCCGTCTATCTATCCACCATTTAAGAGTGCTCTGTGTGGGGTTACTGGGGTAGGTGCTGGGAGCTTGAGGTTGAATACCATAGTCCTGGCCTTGAGGATTTCACAATCCTGGGGTCACATTTTACATATTATTGAATAATTGTTATTGTTGGAAAGTTCTTTTTTCTTTGGCCTGAGCCAAAAGTCTGCTGTCCTTGAAGCTTCTCTCTTGCTGGTCCTACTTTTTCTGGTTTTCTCCATACACGGTGTTCACTCCTCTTTTATGTGACTGCCTTTGTCGTATTCACAAACTCTGTCACAGACCTTCCTGATCTTCTTTTTAGAAAATCCCAGTTCTCTTATAACAGCCTCATAAATCGAATTTGTAAAATTTAAGGCATTCTGGAGCTGAATGAGACTTTGGAAGTCATTTAGAATTCATACCTCAGCCCTCATCTCTTTACAAGTAGGATGTGAGTCACAAATAAGTTGTGACTTGCCTAAGATCACAGAGCTAGTGAGGGACAAAACCAGCACAGTGTCCAGACTTGCAGTACTTCCAAGGGCTTTCTCAAACTGTCTGTCCTGATAACTGTTCCCAAAACATTCTGCAAATATTTAATATCGCTCAAAAAAGTGGAACCAGAAGTTGAGTGTCGTGTCTCTAGTGACCTTGACCAGAAGCCAAGATGAGAGACAACAAAAGCCAACGTTGACAGGGGCCGGCTTTGCACAGCCTCACCTGGATTTTCTCACTCAGCCTCCCAGCAACCCGCAGAGGGTGCAGTAGTGTGCCAGTTTCAAGATGGAGACACGGAGCCTCATGGGAGTGAAGTGGTTTCCAGCCCATGGCCACAAGCTAAGAAGTGGACAGCTGGAACTCAGACTCGGGGCTCTTTGACTCCAAGGTCAGTCACTGAGCTCTTGCCACAGGATGCCCTTCTTTACACTTGTCATCTCTGAGCATGTCATAATGGAGGTGCACTAGCTGAAGCCTAGTTTTTGGAGTCCTGTGTGGAGTTTGTGGTCTGCCGTTGCCTAGCCCTTTAGAATGGGACACTGAGGGGGCACTTCTGCAAGTTTTTACACCTTCGTGGAGGGCTTACCTTCTACTGAAGGTTGCACATGGGTTTTGCCCAATCTTGTTGATCAGGAGTGAAGTAAGACTCACGAATGAGGCCTGCTTGGGCGTGTCTTCTGGCTCTGACCCATGTGGTTGGGTGATGGGTGGCAGCGTTCTGAGATGTCAGTCGAGATCAGTGGTACTGACCTCAGTGTGGAAGTGAGATGAGGCAAGACAGTGTATGTGGGAAGACTCCAAACCAGTAAGTGAACACTGATCCCGGTGTTTTAACAAGTGAATTGGAGCCAGCCTCGGGCTCCCTCAGACCCGCTCGCCTTGTTCTTGACTTTCTCAGGTGATTCTTGCTGCCAAGAATGTCCCTACCCTTGCCCCTCTCCGTCCTCAAAATACTACTCAGGCTTGATGAGGTGGTGTGTGCCTGCAATTCTGGCAACTCTGGAGGCTGAGGCAGGAGGATTGCAAGTTCAAGGCTAACCTGGGCAACTTTGCGAGAACTTGTCTCAAAAAAAAAAAAGGAGTGGGGGAGAGGGTTATAGCTCAGTGGTAGAGCACCCCTGGGTTCAATTCCTAAGTAATCCTCCCTTTCCTGGGTCCACCCCCCCCCCACCCTTATACACACAAAGTTAACCTGCAAAAGCAAAGGTAGAGGGTGATTTTGAAAAGCCTCCCTTCTCCACCAGAACTGACTTTTCTTGCCAGTGCGTGTTCATGCAGACTGTGTTTACAGCCCGCAAAAGCCCTTCCCTGAGTGGGTCTTCATGGTGTTTTGCCCAGACCTCCCTCTCCCCCAGCTGGAGAGTTCTTGAAGACCCAACCTGTGGAGTGTTCCTCTTGGTGGTCTTCCCTTCCCTGCCTGTGAAAGTCAAGGAGTGCTTCAGCGGGACCTTTGATGGTGGCCTCCCAGATCCGTGTGCCTGGAACTTCCCTAGGTTCCCTTTTGGCATCAGTCCCATCAAGATAAAGATGTTGGTAGGGGTGGGGACCAAGGAGAAATGTGGCCCTGTGAAGCTCTTCCTCCAAATTATGACCCAAGCATGAACCAGCTGTGCCACTGTGATGTAGTGGTGAGTCCTAGAATGGTAAGAGCCTGGTGTCTTGCCAGGGTTACCGCAGGAGCCTCCCAGTGGGGCGCGGGGAGAGTCTTCCCCCAGAGGAGTCTTTTTGTCAGAGGCCTGTCTGTTCACATTGCTCTTCTGCTTTAAGCCCTCTGGTACCACACCCTTGGACTTTGGGACCAGGAGTTCTCCAGAGACTCAGCCACCCCTCCTGGTTGGCCTCTCTCAGCCCGTATTGGGACGCACTCACGGCCTTCTTTCCAGTAGCTGAGCCTCTTCTAGACCTATTCTTCCCCCTCTATTTTAATTTGCTAACTCCTATTTGGATCCTTGGCTTCACTGTCATTTCCTTCTGTAATCTAAGTTTCCTGGGAGGCGGAGGCAGGAGCATCACAAGTGTGAGGCCAGCCTGGGCAACTTAGTGAGACCCTGACTCAAACTAAAAAGAAGTGCTGGGGAGGCAGTTAAGGGGTGGAGTGCTCCTGGGCTCAAACCCCAGTACCAGGAAGAGAAGTCATTTCTTCAGACAAGTCCTGATGCCCCTCTCACAGGTCCTGGTGCCTTTCCTTCACAGCATGGATAAGTACTTGTTTAATTACTGTCCACTCACGACCTGAACCTTCCAGGAGATTTCAAGTTCCCCCCGGGTAGGCAGGGACCTGGAGAGTCTGTCTCTAAGCAACGTGCTCCACACAATGGCGGACTCACTGGAGCCGCCCAGCAGGTGACAGCTGAGTGAACATAAACGCCAAGTGTGATCTCACCCATTCCGGCTCATGTATTGAGAGCCCTTTGTGGGCACAGGCTGGGGCTCCAGCTCACAGTTGACCTGGCAGGGGCCATCTTCCCGAGCTCCATGAGTCCACCCGGGAGTCCAGAGGCGGAGTTTCCCACGTAGGTGTTGCAAGGTGGTCCTGTTTGAGCTCAATCCAACTCATACTTCGCCATGTTACTCTCCAGGTATCAGACTGTTGCCTGCACTGCCAAACTCTTGACGCCCTGCGTGGACCAAACTCTTCCTGCCCACCAAGACCTCTATCAAAAGCAGGATATAAAAGTTAACTTGACGTGGGATTCTCAGTGAATCCTCGATAGAGCCTTGTGCTTATGAAAATTTGCTAAAGGCCCTCTTTAGCTTGGACAGAAACCTGGTACAGGTTTGGTCTCCTGAATCCCCCACTTAACAACAAAAGCAAAAACAACTGTTGTCTTTGGGTTTGCACAAGGTTCTCTTCCTCCGTGGATCCCTGAAGCTTTTTCAGAGAGGCTCCAAGGTCAGGATGTCCTCATCTGTCCTGGGTTTCCCGCCACCCCCCCCCCAGATCTTTCTAGTTATTTTGCCTTTCACTTTCACCAGCAGGCGTAGGGAACTGAACCCTGGGTTGGAAGCTGGAGACCTGGGGTCGTCTTTGGCCTGGTGCTCTCTGGAAGGATATTTAACTTTCTTGGCCTTGGTCCCTCACCTATTAAATGATGTGGCTGACATGAATGAACTTGTTGGTTCTGCCTGCAGCTCCCGGTATTAGGAAGCTCTACTTCCTAATCTACTGACCTTCTAGATCCAAAATATAGACTGAGTAGTTCTGTCTTCAATTTTAAGGGTCTGCATCTTTCCATCTTCACCGGAACTTGAAAAAGTTCTGGCTGTCTTTCTTCTTCCCAACCCCACCTTGTTTTCTCCTAGGATTTTTAGCTCATTGGGGGCGTGACCATTCTAACATTCTTCCAGATTTGAACCACATCTGGGTAATGACTTTTGTGTGCTTCAGTCCAGAGCTAGAATGCTCAATGACTTATAGAAGCCAGTGGCCCAAGTTTAAGTCCTGGCTCAGCTGTCTGGCTTTGGGCAAGATACTTCACCTCTCTGAGTCTCATCTCAATGTCTTTAGAGTGAGGATAATAGATCCCATTTCAGCTGATGTCGTTGAGACATTAGTACCTCACTGAGCCCAGTCATGTCTGCAGGCTGATATGTGTGGGCACTCTATCAAAGTCAGGCATTTTAAATATTTGTGTCTCTCCATTTTTCCACCACTGGGATTTTTCCCAGTAGACCTACACTGAATTCTGTAGCTGTCCCGAATGGAATGTCGCTGTATAGCAGACTGTGTATGGATGAAGATTTGCAGGCCTACAGGTTTGCTGCATGGAGAAGAGTATTACTACCTTGAGCAGCTTTGAGGAGGAGAAGGGGAGAGGAGGCAGGGAAGGGCCAGAAGAAACGATTCTTTTTCTGAATGTTGCGAGACATGGTCTATTGGCAATGCGCATTGGGATCAAAGCATTTACAGAAGGGAGGGAGGAAGTAACGTGGACTGGTTATACTTCGAATAAAATGTACGCACGCATTTAACAATACGAGCATTGAGTTGCAGTTGATTATCGACTTCAGTAATATTTTGCAGACATTTAAGCAAGTGTTTGTTAATTTTGACAGTCCAGATTTCCTCTGATGGTCTGGAGCTGATTGTTCTTTTTCTTGAGTCACAGGTGTTTTGATAGGTCTGTGAGAAGTCTGTACTCACGAGAGAATCTGGGTCCAGAAAGGGGAAGAGGCTGGCTGAGCTAAACCCAAGCTGAGATTTGGTTGTTTTCCAGGGGATCCAAATGGAGGGTGCCATGCCATTGCTGCATGGTTGAGGCTTGTGATAAGGAAAGGATCTGGCTAGGAAAATGGATTGAGGGCAGGGGCTGTGGTCACATGACCGGGGCTGCCCTCCCTGTGTGCTCTTCCCCATCTGGACCCCTCCCTGTCCAGCACACACTGGATCTCAGTGTTCCAAGACTCTACACACACTCATTTGTCCCCAGACATCTCAGGTGCCCCTGAGTGTCCAGCACTTGGGCTTCGTGGGTGGATTCCACACCTGTTCTGTCCTTGAGAAGCTCCCAGTCTATTTCTTTCCTATTTATGTCACCACTAGGTAATGCTGGCCCTCAGGTCCTAATATTGGAAGAGTAAAGAGAATCTGGGCTGCAGGGAGATGGCGTCTTTGCTCTCCTGAAGCTGACTGTGGTGTTCACATCCTTCTCCTCACCCCCACCTTGGCGGCTGGTCATAGGAAAGTTCTTTGTGCTTGCGAATGACATAATTTTTTCCTTAAAAAAAAATAAAAAAGAATCTTTGCAATATTCCAATTCTAAAATTCGGTGATTGTATGATTCTGAATTAATTTAGGAAAGCAGGCAGACAGTTTCTGAACGTGTTTCCATGGACACTGTGGATGTTGTGTTGAGGTGTCTGCTTAGTCACATTTGGCGCCATCTGGCATAGAATTACTGGATTTTGGTCTGAGGGCAACTCAAGGTACTTAGAGGGATTTGCTGTGCTTCTGATTCTCAATTGAAATGTTATAGTTGCTTAGCCTAATCACCAGACAGCATTTGATTTGCCAGGTAAAGCATAGTATATAATAATCACAACAACAACATTATTTTTTTGCTTTCAATAATTAAAAAATAATTTTTGCATAAGTATATATCATGTGATTGACTTTGGGATATACTTACACTTGAAAAGTTATCCACTGTTGATCTGAAATTCAAATTTTACTGGAGATCTTTATTTATTTACTTACTTATTGCAAAATTTGACAGCCCTGCATGGCATCTATTTGTTCCTTGTGACCTTGCAAATACATCCATGCAGGTCATAACACTGTAAAAGGTGTTTATCTAATGGTAAGAAACTTTTCTTCCAACTTCAATGCATGTCCTTTACTCCAAGGCCCTCCTCAGACAGAAAGAGTTGTTGCTGCTGCAAACATAACCCATTATATTGTTCATGGGACTTTGGTTAATGCTTCTTTTACCTCAAGGTTGAGTATTTCTGCTGTTAAGGAAGTGATGAGCAGTCATTCTATCAAAATTCTCAGAATGTTCATAAATCCAGTTTATCTTAATTAGCAGCCAGTTACTAACATTTTGAAAAACAGTCCTTTTAAAAAAAAATTAAACCGTATTTTTTAAAGTCCTTTTAAAAAAAATTAAACCGAAATTTGAATTTATAATAATTTATGAGTGGTTTCTTGGCTTTCCTTTTCTTATCTGATAAAATCACTCTGGAATTTATATGGGTCAAGACCTGTTACCTGAAGTGCACGCCAACATCTATCCCCCCAAATACCAGATTTTTCTACAGTTCAACTTTGGTTCTCATTAGCCTTGGAATATTTATAACTATACCCATTCATCATTTCTTCTTTTAAGATCTGGTGCCTCTGTGAGGAAGAAGGAAAAATACAGCCCCACGTCTTTGCAAAATTTATAGGCTTCGGGTGAGTTAAAGATATTTGCTGAAGTCCTGACGAGAAAACATGAGAGGTTTGCAAAATTCTTGAGATAATTAGGAATTCCTCTGCCTTAGCTTTTGCTGTTTTTAGTGAAGGGGAGTGAGGCATGGAATATGAATTTGATGTTTTTCATTGTTGTATTTGATTTCAATAGATAAGTTACACACACACACACACACACACACACACACATTTTTAAATCCTCATTCAATCACACATTCTTTGATACTGAAATTCAGGACCAATGGTATCTAAGCTAGACCCAAGACCTACATGCTGGTTCTCTCAAGTTCCTGGGGGAGAAGAACCACATGTAGCATTCTTTTGGAGGCTGTCCCCAGACACAGGTAGATGGACTTTTTTCAAGGCCTGGAGTCACCAGGCAGGGAGTTCTGCCATGACCCAAGGGGACAGAGTATGGCCATTTCCCTTGGCCTGTGGTGGCATAGCAGGCCTGGCAGCCCTTTCCCTGGTCATATGGACGGAGTTTGGTATGTATGCCTGGTGATTAATGGCCTTCATGATCTAAATTCAGCCATGGAAAATCCCATCTCCTTCTGCTCAGGCTGCCCAGAGCTCTCTGCTGGCCTGGTGTACAGAAGAGTCCATGTGCAGAAGGCTTTCTTTCTCAGGCCTTTCTTTTAAGAGGACGGAGGGAGGACTGAGTCAAATATATAAAGCATA